TCCTCTGATGCTGCTTGGCCTGCTGTGTTCATCCAGCTCTACACCTTGTTGTCTCAGTAATTCCATGTTCTCTCTCCCTCTTTCTGCTCGCTTTTTCTCCCAGCCACGTTTCTCACTATATATTCACCCAGCATCCCTAAATATAGCAACAATTAATCAGATTGATAGCCCCCAGGTCACACACTGAGAGGTAGGTGGAAGTGCAGTGGTGTTTGTGACTAGGATCCAGTTACTAGAGAAGAGATTGTCACAATATTCAGGTCTGCTCCAGAGAGAGAGGGAGGGGAAGAGAGGGAGAGAGCGGGAGAGGGAAAGAGGGAGAGAGAGAGAGATAGAGAGGGAGAGAGGGGGAGATAGAGAGGGAGAGAAAAAGGGAGAGAGAGAGGGAGAGACAGAGAGACAGAGAAAGGGAGAGAGAGAGATAGGGAAAGAGAGAAGGAGAGGGGGAGAGAGGGAAAGAGAGAAGGCGACGGAGGGAGACAGATGGAGAGAGAGAAAAAAATGACAGTGGAAGGGAGAAATAGAGAGAGAAAAGGAGAGAGAGAGGGAGACCGAGAAAGAGAGAGAGGGAGAGAGAGAGAAGGAGAGACAGCGAGGGAGGAAGAAAATGACAGTGGGAGGGGGAGATAAATAGAGAAAGAGGGAGAGAGGGTGACAGAAAACAACAGTGGGAGGGTGAGATATAGAGAAAAGAGGGAGAGAGAGAAGGAGAGCGAAGGGGAGAGGGAGAAAGAAAATAACAGCGAGAGGGAGAGATAGAGAGAGAAAGAGGGGGGGAGGGAGAGACAGAGAGAGAGGGAAGAGGGAGAGAGAGAGAGGCAGAGGGAAAGAGGGAAAGAGAGAGAGAGCAAGAGAGCAAGAGAGAGGGAGAGAGGGGGAGAGAGAGAGAGAAAGAAAGAGAGAGAGAGGGGGGAGAGAGAGAGAGCGGGAGAGAGAGAGGGAAAGGAAAAGAGGGAGAGAGGGCGACAGAAAACGACAGTGGGAGGGAGAGATATTGAGAAAAGAGGGAGAGAGAGAAGGAGATCGAGGCGGAGAGGGAGAGAGAAAATAACAGGGAGAGGGAGAGATAGAGAGAGAAAGAGAGAGGGGCAGAGAGAGGCAGAGGGAAAGAGGGAGAGAGAGAGCGAGAGAGAGGGGGAGAGAGAGAGAGAAAGAAAGAGGGAGGGGAGAGAGAGAGAAAGAAAGAGAGAGAGGGAGAGGGAGAGGGAAAGAGGGAGAGAGAGAGACAAAGAAGGAGAGAGAGATAGGGAAAGAGGGAGAGAGAGAGAGTGAGAAAGAGAGAGGAAGCGAAGGAAAGAGAGAGAGGGAGAGAGAGAGGGAGAGGGGAAGAGGGGGAAAGAGAGAAGGCGACAGAGGGAGACAGACGGAGAGGGAGAGAAAAACAATGACAGTGGAAGGGAGAAATAGAGAGAACGGGAGAGAGAGAGAGAGAGAGAAGGCGAGAGAGAGCGAGGGAGGAAGAAAATGACAGTGGCGGGGGAGAGAGAGAGAAAGAGAAAGAGTGAGAGGGAAAGAGTGAGAGGTAGAAACAGTGAGAGAGATAGAGAAAGAGATAAGAGATAGTGAGAGAGAGACAGGGAGAGAGAGACAGACAGGTGCAGGTAGACCGGGATTTGTTGTTGAGTGCCTGGATGGTTGATATGAGACACAGTCCGTGAACTGTCTGCTTTAGCGGATTCTCCCTGGGACTCTCCCTGCTCCATTTTTGCTTGTTACCAGCATTGTACAAACCTATAAGACTGACCGTTACTCTATGACCCATTGACCTGTTCATTAGGAACAGGAGTAGGCCATTCAGCCCCTCTATGGACCCCACTCACACCCCCCCACCATAAGATTTCACTACCCCATACATCAAGAATCTATCTATCTTAACAAAAACTCAGTGAGCCAACGTCTGGGAAAAGAGACTTGAAAAGACTTAGCACCTTCTGAGAGGGGAACATCTGAGTAACTGGTTGACAGCTGCCTGTTTGTAAGCTGTGTCCCTTCACCCTGGTCCATCCCACGTTGGGATTACAGCTCACTCCATCTCAATCCTGCCAGGACTCCTCGGCATCTCCTCATGGGATGGGTATCAGTGCAGAGTGCCGAACCCCGCCTCACCAGAACATCTCCCCATTTACCTCAGACAGGAGACAATCATCTTTGGGAGAAAGGGTCTTATGCTGTTGGGTGATGGGTCTGTTGGGTGAAGAGAGATGGGGGCCAGACTGGAGCCGGAATTCACCGGAACTCTTGCATTCCTGAGTAGGGCTTGTTGCCTTATTGTACAGCTCAGTGGTGGAGCGTTTGAGCGCAGATCCAAAAGCTTCCACAGCTCATGTCTGGGTGCCTGTCTTTATACAGGCACTTTGCGTGAATGTGAGCTGTGTGTTGATCTGCCCTTCAACAGTCTGAAATCAGAATGGGTGCCCATTGATCAGAAGGGAGTCTGCCTGACCATGTAGGACCACCATGACTTACCGTCAGTAACCACAGGATTATGCTTTGACGCGGTGGCTCAGTGGTTATCACGGCTGGCCCACAGTGCCAGGGACCCCCGGGCTCAATTCCAGCTTCGGGCCTCTGGCTGTGTGGAGTTTGCACAGTCTCCCTGGATGCTCTGGTTTAGATCAATTTGCTGATTCCCAGTGGGGTACAGGTGGGATTTCTCCCACTAACTGAGTGTTAGGGACATCGTAAACACAACATGAAGATTTCTCCCAC